AAAAATTTCTTTTTTCTTTTTGAAAAGTGTGATTATCTTTTTTTTTTTTTAATTCGCAAAGTAATATATTGAAAAGACTGCCTTCTTTTTACCCTGCAGCCCACTTTTCTCAAGATGAGTTTTTTTGTGTATTCTTCAGAAACTATATCGTTAGAATATATATTTGAAAAAACAAATGGAATTATATATATACTTTGCTGCACCTTATGTGCTCAAGTTTTGTTTTCTTTCTCTTACTTAATAGTCTATCTTGGAGATCTTTGGTAGGAAGATTTTGAAGAAGGGTTTTACATAGAAGGGTGACATAGTCAATTCTGCTTTTCAGGTAGTTGTAATACTGATTACCAGGTGGAAGATGGTTTTGAGCAGGGAAGACTTGGAAGGATGGAAATGTGTTAGAGAATATAATGAACATTAGGAATAGGAGTGCATCTTCCATAAAGATGTAGTATGAAGTAGTAGGAAGCCCGAAGTAGTAGGAAGACCCTTGACCCTTTATGCCTATGGATTTTGGATCACATTAGAGGTGATACTGCCTCCCCAGAGGCTATTTGGAAATGTCCAGTAGTTGTCACATTAACTGAGGGGTTCTACTAGTATTTGATGGATGAGTGCCAGAGATGCTAAACTGCTTGCATTGCTCAGAACGGTCCCATACCACAATGCCAGTATATCTGCACTGAGTACGAAGCACTGATCTGCATCCTAATCACTGGTGTGCTTCTTTAAAATGTAGTTGGTTGGTCCCTCCACTAACCAGAACAGCTGAATTGGAACTTGTAGGGTTGTGACCCCAGAATCTCTTATTTTAATAAGCATATGAGATAATTCTTAGATCTACTCAGAGATGGGAGCCATTTCTTTACCATGTGAGTGGTTATTACTTGAGCAGCTCTTCCCAGTCATACGACTCCTCTTTCTACAGCCAATCAGATAGTCTTGGCTTTCCCCAAAACTCTCAGGCAAGTAGTAGGGTAGAAAGATGGAACTAAGGAGCTAGTGTTCAGTGTTATCCATTCAGCTAATATACTGTATGTGAGTATAGATCAGAGGTTGATAGACTATGGTCCATGGGTCAAATCTGGTCTGCTCCCTGTTTCTGTAAATATAGTCATTCCTCAGTATCCATGGGGGCTTGGTTCCAGGACCCCCCACAGATACCAGAATTTGCAGATGCTCATGTTTCTTATTTAAAATGGCCTAGAACAGTGCATACAGTTGACCTTCTGTATCCGTGGATTGAAAATAGTACTGTTCTCGATCTGTGGTTGATTGAATCCATAGATGGGGAACCCGAGAAGAAGGAGGGATGACTGTAACGTCTTAAAGGAATGTAGCCCTACTCATTTGTTCACCTGTTAGCTATAGCTGCTTTTGTACCACAGTGGCAGAAATGAGTAGTTGTGACAGAGACTGTATGGCTTACAAAGCCTAAAATATTTATCATTTGGCCCTTTGTAGAAAAAGTTTGTTGACCTCTGGTAGAGACCAGTAGCTGTCAGTTTTGGTTGCATAATGGAATCATCTGGGCAGTTTTAACAAAATTACTGATGTTAGGATCTTACCCCTACCCCATTTAGGTCTGGGATTTGGACTGGGTGTCTGAGTTTTAAAAACTTTCCAGGGGAGTATAATGAGCAGCCAAGGTTGAGGCACTGGTATAGAGAAGGAAGAACTCACATACAGCAGTACAGACTGGTGATTTTGGTTCTTACTAGGTCAGAGTGTCAGAAATCCAGACAGTGGAGAGTGAAGGAAGCCCTGCTTCATTAAATGCCATAGTGGGCTTATTATTTGAGGATGAATAAAACAAAACGAAAACAACAGAAGACTCTAGGAAATTTACATAACAGGGAAAGGGAATATTATTGTAGTATTTAGTGAGAACAGTTCTCTGAACATTGTTTTCTATAGAAACCCAAAGAAAATTTTAGAAAACTACCTGGCAATTTCAGTAGGACACAAGAAATGGCTCAGAAAAGTAGATTGTAAACTATGGTTTCCAAGCAAGATTCAGCTTTGTAAACAAGTCTTGAATGGTGTATATATTGTTTTAGAAAATTTGAATGAGTTGCCAGCATTTAAAAATAGATTTCACATAAAAATTCAGATTTGTAGCTTCTCTTAAAAAAACCCAAATCTTTCAGCAGTAAGGCTGAATTATATTAGGCCTTACTCTCTTTTCTTGAACAATTCATTTCTAAAGCCATTAGGTGAGGCCAAGCAAGGTAGGCCGTTCATGCCAGTTGGGGGAGCTATACTGGCACAGAGCAGGGTGTTGGAGCCTGACCAGATGAGGCAGGATGGAAGGAGAGGAAGACTAGTATGGGTCTAGTTAGAGCCCGAGCAGGATGAGAAAGGTGCCCTGTTGATGGTCAGCTGGCTTGGGATATCAGTACAAATGCTGTGGGAGGGTGTCTGCATAGGAGGGGTAGTTCTAAAAGGAACTAGGGCTTCATGGAGAAATGGCTGGTTCCAGGGCTGGGGCAGGGAAAGAACAAGATGAACCTAGAACTTTTACTTTGTGTCAGAAAATAAAGTGCTCAAAGAATCGTGGGACATGCCCAAAAGACACAATAATGATAGTAATGGATTATAATCCATTGAGTAAAATAGGAAACCATGAGGGAATAAATAAATGAATAAATTAAAAGTTTGATGAAGAACAGGATATTTACATAGTTCCAAATTATGTTCCTACAAAATAACTCATTGACTATAAAAGAGAAGAGTATCTTTATGATAAAGTTTGGCAGATAACACCCTAATCAAGTGACCAAATTAACTTCACCAATAATGATATTAAAATCATGTGTCACCTGATAGGATTCAGTGAGAAGAACACAGCATTACTTTTGTGATATCCTTCCCAAAGATATATGACCTGAATCTAACCATAAGGAAACATCTGAGAAATCCAAATTGAAGGACATTTTGATACAAAATAACTGGCTTATACTCTTCTAAAGTGTCATGGTTATATAAACCAAGGAAAGACTGGAATGTTTCCAGATTGTAGGAGACTAAAGAAATATGGCAGCTAAATGCAGTGTATAATTCTGAATTGGATAATATTGGGACAAATGGCAAAACTTGAGTGGGGTCTGAGGATTAAATGGTTGGTAGTAGTCAGTGCTAATTTCCTGATTGATGATTGTGATACGGTTATGTAGGAAAACACCCTAATGTAGAAGCTATATGCTAAAATGTTCAGGTGTAACAGGGCGTCATGCTAGCAATGTACTCTCAGATGGTTCCAGTTTTTTTAAAAGTTCTTTGTGTTATACTTGTAACTTTTCAATAAGTTTGAGATTCCTTCAAAATTAAAGCAAAAATATGTGTAGCCTGGCTGGGTGTGGCTCAGAGGTTGAGCATCAACCTAGGATCCAAGAGATTGAGGTTTGATTCCTGGTCAGGGCACATACCTGGGTTTTGGGCTTGATCCCCAGTTGGGGGCATGCAGGAGGCAGCTGATCAATGACTCTCATCATTGATGTTTCTCTCTCTCCCTCTCCCTTCCTCTCTCTGAAATCAATAAAGATATATATATATATATATATTTTAAAAATGTATATATAGGAAAGGCTTTATGCACATATGGAAAAGTCGCCTGGGGTATTTTGCCACAACATGCATTTTTTTTGGTTTTGTTTCTATTACATTAATTACATTGTTACTGCTGGATAAAGAAAATAGTATGGCTCTAGCTGGTTTGGCTCACAATGGGTATAGCACTGGCCTAGGGACTGAAGGATCCTGGGTTTGATTCTGGTTAAGGGCACATACCTCAGTTACAGGATCCCTGGCAGGGGTGAGTGCAGGAGGCAACCAGTTGATGTGTCTCTCTCACATTGACGTTTCTCTCTCTCTCTCTCTCTTTCTCTCTCTTCTCTATCTGAAAAGCAGTGGAAAAAATATCCTTGGGTGACAATTGAAAAAACAACAGTATAGAATAGAAGTAGTGGGCTGTTTGTTATAAGACCCTAGGTCATAAAAAAATCTTAAGTGAAATTTTATACGTAATAATTAGCTATAACTATATATGTATTATAACAGTCTGTGTTAAGCCAATGTGAAAGTTCATAGTTTTAAAGTTGTGACTATTTTGTACATGCTATGTCAAAAATAGAATATTTTGAATTGCAAAATAGACATAATTTATTAAGAATGGGATCAGTATTTTTTCTATAAATTATACCAAATTTTGAAGGTTTTTTTGTTTAGTTAATTGATTTGTTTAATATGATTTAAGTTAGAAGTAAAATTTTTAGTCTCTTTTTAGACTGGGTAAAGTTTGCCTGCTTCTAGAATATGTATATCCTACATTTTTCATGTTAAAAAGACCATTATACATAACAGATACTGTGATATATATATATATAACATAATGAAAATTAAGATATATAAAAACAATTTTACAACAGTAGACTGAGTCTCAGATTGCAAATGAAGTAGAGTAACAGGAAAAGGGGGCCTCAGAAAAGATAGAATTTTAGTCCTAACTTTGATGACTAGAAAAAAATAGAGTATAAAACTCTGTCTTATAGTAGAATTTAAAGTAATATACCTAAATTCAATGGAGAGTATAAAAGCAAACAAATGTAGTCTCTATGAATAATAGGCCAAAAAGGGGAAATATTTAAACCAGAAAATATTTAATAACATGGAAAAATATAATATAAACTGTATGCAAGATGACCCCAGTTTTGTGTTTATCCATGTATGTGACATAGTTATATAGAAAAGAGACTAACAGGAAAATAAGGTTGAGTAGTTTCCTGTACGAAGTGAAGTTATGGGTGATTTTTGTTTTCTCTTTTATACTTTTTTTATACTTAAAAAATTAATATGGTTTAACTTTTATGATATCTATACAACTCTTAACCAACAAATGTTTTTAAAAATTAAAATGTAATGTATTCTGTTCTGTATTTTATATAATATAAAATATTCTAAAATATTTTGTAGTTTTTTCAATAGAAATAACTGTTTATTTCTAGGATAATTGGTGGGCAGTATTGCTTATGGGAATTGCCCTGATCATGTTAATGGCTGGATTTATTAAGATATGCAGTGTTCATACTCCGAGTAGTAATCCAAAGTTACCTCCTCCTAAACCTCTTCCAGGTAAGACAATTTGAATAAGGTATATCTTTTTATAACATAGAACCTTTCAGCAAGTAGAATTGAATTACAAATGAGTCTCTAGTAACTGATTTTGTAGTACTTTCTCCTTGACAATGGGATTACTGGATAAATTATTTAGTTGATTTCTAAGTGTTTTTTTAAATCAATCCAATCTAGCTAATTATTACCAACTTAATGTTAATCTAGACTGAGTGTCTAAAAAACATTTAGACCTAGAAAGCTTTGTTTTTGCTTGGTACTTATTTTCATTCTCTTTTCAGATTCTAAAATCTTCCATTTTTGTTTTAAATGATTTGTTCTTCTATTCTAATAGCTGTGCTTCTGTTACTGTTTTAATGTTCATGCTCATCGAATGTTTTCTGGCACATAAACTCGTTTTCTCTAGGGATGATGCTTATGGGGAAGCACAGTCTGTGGGAGAGTCTTGGGGGTGGAGGCTTTTAGTCACTAATGACCACTCCTCATCTCTGACAGTGACTCCTCGGGTTTGGCCTTCGCCCTTCACTTTTCAGGATTTAGGCGAGCTCCTGGGCTTTACCTGGAGCAAGCGCTCTGGGTTCCTTAGTCCCCTTATTTCTCCCTCACCTTCCCCAAGGTATTTGTGGCTTCTGTGCTGCCCTTGGGACTCCTGGGCCAGCACCCTGTTCACTGGTTTGGGGTGAACATTGTTCCAAGGCACTGGCAGAGGAGAGCCAGCGCTAGAAGACAGCAGCTGCCTTTTCTCCAACAGTCGCCTCCCGCAGACTTCACATGAAGCCTCTTGTCTTACACCAAATTCACCACCCTACAGAAAGCACATTAAAACTAGGGGTTTCTTAAAGTTTTCTCCCATTGTCCCTCAGTTCTTTTCCTGCATTGACCCATCTTGGGGCAAGAGAGCTCAGTATTCATGCTGGGATAATATATTGGTTGGACCTCATTGCCTCACTACAGTTTTTAGATGTGTTACCAGTTATGGTCTCATTCATTAAAATCAATTCTTGTACTTGATTTCACTTTAAGCAAATTCCACTTTTAAAACTTAAAAAACAACAGCACCCTAGCTGCTATTTATTGAACCCTCACAAAAAGTGTTAGATCATTTTTACATGAATTAGCATGTCATTCTCACAAATAGACTGCATGAGTTCCTTATTATCCCTGTTTTACAGACAAGGCACTTGAGTTGCAAAGACGTTAAGTTATTTGCTCAAAGACACTCAGTAATTTCTTTGTCATAGATCTTGTCCTCAGAATCCATATTAGTAAGTTGTAGCTGTTGAGCACTGGAGAGTGGCTAGTCTTGTTGAGATGTGTTTGAACGCTTAGTGTACAAAAAAGAATGAAATATTTCATCAATTTATTGTCACATCTTGAAATAATATTTTGGCTATATTGGGTTAAGTGAAATAAAAATTACTCAATTTATTTATTTTTTATTCTTATTACAGCTACTGAAAATTTAAAATTACATATATGGCTTATATTATATTTCAGTTGGGTAGTACCAGTCTAGATCCTTTCTTACTGATATGGCAGCTTTGTTTTTAAAGAGTGTAAAGCTCACAGTAAATCTATCTTTTGTTTGTAACTCACAGGCACTTTAAAGAGGAGGAGACCTCCACAGCCCATTCAACAACCCCAGCGTCAGAGGCCCCGGGAGAGTTATCAAATGGGACACATGAGACGTTAACTGCAGCTTTTGCCTTGGTTCTTCCTAGTGCCTACAATGGGAAAACTTCACTCCAAAGAGACACCTATTAAATCATCCCCAAACTAAACCCTCACAAATAACAGTTGAAGAAAAAATGGCAAGAGATCATGTCCTCAGACCAGGTGGAATTACTTAAATTTTAAAGCCTGAAAATTCCAATTTGGGGGTGGGGGGTGGAAAAGGAACCCAATTTTCTTATGGACAGATATTTTTAACCTAATGGCACAAAATGTTAGAATATTATTATGTGCCCTGTGTTCCCTGTTCTTCGTTGCTGCATTTTCTTCACTTGCAGGCAAACTTGGCTCTCTATAAACTTTTATCACAAATTGAAATATATATATATATTTTTTTCAACTGCCAGTCAAGGCTAGGAGGCTCGACCACCTCAACATTGGAGACATCACTTGCCAATGTACATACCTTGTTATATGCAGACATGTATTTCTTACGTACACTGTACTTCTGTGTGCAATTGTAAACAGAAATTGCAATATGGATGTTTCTTTGTATTATAAAATTTTTCCGCTCTTAATGAAAAATTACTGTTTAATTGACATACTCAGGATAACAGAGAATGGTGGTATTCAGTGGTCCAGGATTCTATAACGCTTTACACAGGCAGTTTTGAAATGAGAATCAATTTCCCTTTCCCTTATGATGGAGTTGGTTCTGATATTCATTTTGTCTTTATCAAATGGCTGCTAAGAGCACATGAGTGACTACGCTGAAGAACACAGTTAAGTGTTGTGCAAACTGGACATATGCAGCATACTACTTCAGAGTTAGTTCTTTATGTAAGTGTCTGATTTCTGCTTATTTTAAACTTTCTAATTCAATTCCATTTTTGAATTGATAGGTGACATTTTATTCATGCTTCAGTAGAAATTATGTCAATGAAATGATTCTTTTTATTTGTAACCTCTTGCATTTCCATATATCTAAAGTATGCTAATTATGTTTTTGGTTTTTGTCTGACACGGAAAAGAAAAGCTGTGTCTTTTATCAAAATATATGAACAATTTTTTCAGCATATCATCACTGATCATTGGTAACCACTAAAGAAGAGTGATTTGCTCAACTAGTAGTTAAAATTGTAGATAGGCCGCCTGACATTTTTCCCCCTAAAATATTTTAACAACAATGGAGGTGAAACAGCACAATGTCCCATTCCAGATTTATTTTTTAAATAGATGTAAATAATTGGCTTTTTAAAGAAAGAAAGCAAAAGCATTTAATGTATTAACAGGCTTGTTGCTATGCAGGAATGGAAGGGGGCATTACAAGAATATTTTAAGCTTGTGACATATTTATTGCTTCTGTTTTCCAACTACATCACTTAAATTAGACATAAATAGCTATGATTTTCCTGGCTTCATGTAGGAGGCAAATTTAGGGAAAGTTGAAAAAATTTGTGTTTTGGCTTCTTTTTTTTCTTTTTTTCTTAAGAGTATAAGGTTTACACAATCATTCTCATAATGTGACGCAAGCCAGCAAGGCCAAAAATGCTAGAGAAAATAATGGGATCTCTTCCTTGTAAACTTGTACAGTACGTGGTGACTTTTTTCAAAATACAGCTTTTTGTACATGATTTAGAGACAAATTTTGTACATGAAACCCCAGATAGACTATAAATAATTCTAAACAAACAAGTAGGTAGCTATGTATGTAATTGCTTTTAAATCATTTAAATGCCTTTGTTTTTGGACTGTGCAAAGGTTGGAAGTGGATTTGCATTTCTAAAATGGTGACTTATTCTGCAAGAGTTCTTAGTAACTTCTTGAGTGTGGTAGACTTTGGAACATGTACATTTTTTGCTTGTAATGTTATCCTGTGGTAAGGTTTTGGCAGGTCTACACTGCCCTGTTTTCTTTTGAGTCTAAGTTAAATGTTTTCTGAAAAGAGATATGTGCACTGAACTCTCCATGGCAGATCAAGATGTGGTAAAACAACAGGATCAAGACAAATGAGATCTAATACTACTGTCAGTTTAATGTCCACTGTGTTTTATACAGTATCTTTTTGTTCACTTTGGAAATTTTTACTAAAAATTGCAAAAAATAAAGTATTGTGCAAAGATGTAAGGTTTTTTGAAACTTGAAATGCATTAATAAATAGACTTGATGAAATCAACTTGAAGGTTCCATTCTTTTGAACTCTTGAGAACTGCCACAAGAAACTTCCCACTAGGCAAATTTTTCTTACTAAATGAAAGAGATTGTTAAGTAGAAAGAGGATTGTCTCTTTCCATACAAGTACAGATAACTTTAATTCCTGGTTAGGAGTCCATGTAAAAAAATTAGGATTAGATACCTCTACACATTGAACATTTAAAAAATACTTAACCTCAACTGCTTTATTTCCAATTTAGCATTACACTATTTTCAATCACTATTCAATGTGTTTAAAAGTGTTCGTCTTGGTGGAAGAGCTGACATTTTGGAAACTGCACTTATTGACAGTAAGTCCTCACTTGGTCCATAGGTTCTGCTACTTAAAGTGAAACGATGTACATATAACGAAACCAGGTTTACCATAGGCTAATGGACACAAACAAGAGTTAAATTCCTACAACATCTCATCAGAGTTATAGTAAAATGCTGAATGAAACAATGTTATTCAAGGACCTACTATATAAGTATTTTGCAAAATTTGGAATGCAAAGCACCTCATTTATTTAAAAAGTCTAGTTTAATAAGTGTCCTTTAAACTCTTGAGCCTCATTTTTCTGCTTTTTCAAATTCATAGCAAATAAAGAGAGACTGGACATTTCAACCTTGTCTAGAAAAAGAAGGATAAGCCCAGAATGGTGCCCTGCATAAAATAATCTGCCCCCAATTCTTTTTCTTTTCTTTTTAAGTTGAGGCCAGCTGTATGTAAGTAGTCGTTAAATGAATAAACATGTCATACTTTTTAATTATTTAGAAACATTAAAATGTATGTTTAATTTTGTTCAACTGTCAATATTGATTAATTCAGATGATTGCAAATTTATTGTTTTTACTTAAAATTGAATGTTTAGATTTTGTTTAGAATCTTCTCCCTCCGTTTTCTATATTCAAGCAACAATGTACAAAATCAGCAGTAAAATCCGTTAATAGAGTTTCTGGACTTAGTAATCCTCCTAGTATCAGGCAGTACCATACAGTTTGGTGAAGGACTTCTTTAAGGGAAAGACTATCTGACCAGTTTCTTTCCTAGGTGTCTTCAGCACGTCCTGCTTAGGTACTCTTTTTTTTGTCATGTTCACAGATTAGTGAAAACTGAAGATTTCTCCAAGTTGAGCAAATGACTCCTCTTAAGTCCTTACATCTGTTCCTGTGGTCTGTACATTTTAAGACCTAATGATTATTATTTTTCTAAAGATGGAATTAGTGTCCTTAGCAGCTGTGCAATTGTGGGTGCTTGTGCTCGAGAAGGCTTTTAATTTCTTGTTAATTATTTCTTTTTAAAACAATTGTATTTATTGGGGTAACATTGGTTTGCAAAACCATACAGGTTTCAAGTGTACAACTCAATAAAACATCATCTGCTCACTGCATCGTGAGCTCATCGCCCCAAGCAAAGTCTCATTCTCTCCCCATTTCCCTGGTTTTTCTGCCCCTGCACCCATTCCCCACCCTCCTCTCCCTCTCGCTGTCACCACACTGTTGTCTGTCTATGTGTTATGTATATATGTTTTTTTGGTTAATCCCTTTAATTGAAAGTCTAAGAGAGTCATTGTAGTAAATGTGTTATAAAACTGGACAGGCCATCTTTAAGTGGTATAAGAGGAAATGTTCATTATGCAGATTTACAGGGTCAAGGTCTCCCAAAATGAGAGAGCAAGTTGGGAATAGTTTTAAGCAGCTACCAGAGACAGTTCATCTGTAGAGAAGTCACTAAAATTGTAGTTTTCTGAAAAGCATGTTTGACTTCTAAGGAGCTAAATGATGATCAGTTTACCCCACAGAACTCAGCTTCATTTTCAGCATTTCTGGTTTTATGTTCTTGATTAAAAACAACTTCCCTTTGAATCTCTTTTTCCATTTGTTACCAGTTTTGCCGTTATTGTTTCTGTACCCAACCCTTTGTATTATTAGAATGCAAGAGAGCCCTTGTGTTCTGTACTGCTGTATTGCATGTCTCAGGTACATACATGCATGCACTATTTCCAGTAGAAATGTATATTATAATTGATAAGCTCTTCAGAGTATTCTATAAAACGCAATGAGATGATAGGTACAAATGGAGGGTTGAGCAAAATGTTTATTAGCCTGTGTTCTTTCCTAAAATCTCCGCTAAAATCGCAGTGATTGGGGAAAGAAAAGAGCATAATCCAACACGGACAAGGAATATTGGAGGAAAGATAAGAACAAATATTGGAACTGGAAAGCAGATAGAAGGGTAGTACTGACATGGCAGCCAGACAGGGATGCCTAATTCTGAACCAGCAGTGGCGGCCTGGGAACAGCCATTGCACTGTTAAGATTTTGGAATATAGCCTTCAAGACGTTTTCCTACACATGTGGCTAAAGGCATAATATGCACACTTTTGTAACCCACCTTTCTAACTAAACAATACATTGCTATTGTATCTACATCATTTTAATGACTAAATATACTTCGTTCTGTGGATGTGTTGTACATTTTAAAAACCAATTTCCTGTTGTTTGGACATTTAGGTTTTCAGATTGGTAGTTATGTTAAACAATCCTACAAGGGAAATCCTAAGCCTAATAATTCCTAAAAGTGGAATAGTTGGGTTAAAGGTTTTTTAAAAGGTCATTGATAAAAAAAATTTGACATTGTCTTCCAGGTGGATGTGCCAAGTTATACTCCTTCGATTACTATGTATTTCCACCATTAGCCTATTATCAAATAGATAAGGTTTTTTTGTAATCTGAGAGCTTCATGCTTAAAAACTTGGGTATGCAACCACATGAATTTATTACAAGCTAAAGTAGAAGACTCCTGCTTAGTTGACTTGATTACCTTTGGACATCCTTGGATAAAAGGTTAATGGCAGATCTAGGGAGAGAAATGCCCAGGAAGAGCCTAGAAAACACTGTCATACGGAGAGCAAGGAAGCTATTAGAGGTCTGTCAAAAAGATTCAGGAGCCTTGAAGAAGTTCTCACTGGCCAAAGCTGAGATAATTTTAGCATCAGTAAGGATAATATCTGCAAGAGATTAAAGCTCAAATTTTACTCCATGACTTAGTGGTAGCCTACAAAATTGTAGTTACCTTTGGAGTATGCTCTTAAATATTTTAGCTAAGTTAAAGAATGATAGATGATCACCATTTTACCCTCTAATGATTGATGGATCTAGAGTCTAGACAGTGGTCACCAGTGACTTCTAATAACCTCACAAAGAGATAGCAGTCAAACATTTTGTGCCTCCTAATGGAAATACACATGCCACTTATGAAGCAGTCCTGCCAGAGGTCAAATCTGATCTTGACCAAGCCTCTGGGTCTAACCACCTCTTTACCAGAAATACAGGAAACAAAGAAATACGTTAAATGATACCACAGGGATTCAGTCGGAAAAATCCAGACTGGAAAACTATAGGACATGTCACCCTGTTTCTTCAACAATGGAATTGCAAAGTTAAAGATACATTAAAAGAGACTTAAGAGGTAAATCTACCAATACAATTTATGGACCTATTTGGATTCTGATTTGAAGAAACAATAAAAAAAGACCATGGGGAAATAGGAAAACGAACTGGATGATTGATGATTTTAAGAGTTTTTACGGTTATTTTTAGGTGTGATGATGGTATTGTGTTTACATTTTTTATTTTTTAAGTTTTATTTTTTAAATATATCTTTATTGACTTCAGAGAGAGGAAGGGAGAGAGAGGGAGAGAGAGAGAAACATCAATGATGAGTCATTGATTGGCTGCCTCCTGCATGCCTCCTGCTGGGGATCGAACCTGAAACCCGTGTATGTGCCCTGACCAGGATCATAGACTGATGCTCAACTGCTGAGCCACACCCAGCTGAGCGTGTTTACATTTTTTAAAGTAGCCCTTTTAGAGATGCAAATTAAAAGGCTTAAAATGATATGGTATTTAGGGTTTGCTTAGAAATAATTAAGGAGTTGAATAGTGTGTGGGTATATAGTTGAAACAAGATTGACATGAGTTGATAATTGTTAAAAGCTGGGTGATGGATACTTGAGGATTCATCATACTATTTTCTCTCCCTGTGTTTATATTAGGAAATTTCTGTAAAGTTTTTTTAAAATGTGAATCAAATTCATATAGAAATTTATTCATTACTGTTTTTATTTTAGCAATAATTCATGATAATGGCCTGTATTCATAATGATTTTTTAGTGGAATTAAACTTGAACCAGCCAAGCTAACATAATTGATTATATTCTGCTCCAGTTATAATGAATGATTAATTGATTTTAACTGCTAGGGTGAATGCTTGAAGCTATCATTCAGCAGTCTTAGAAAGCAGGCCATTAGATCCCTCCTTGCTCACTGGTTTTGCTAGGTATTTAAAGAAAATGTTTAGTTTCTGTTAAAACATGTCAGGGAATGTAATCAGATTACCCATAATTAACTTGTGTGCCCCGTATTAGAATAAATGTTAAATAGCTCAGTACAGTAAACTGGATTCTACTCATGTTCAAATGATAATGATCCCCAGAGGTGGAAATGTATCCTTAAAAAGATACCTTGTTTGGTGTGAGTGTAAAGAAATTAGAATAGTTTGATACAGTGTAGGCTGCCTTATATAAAAAGTGCTTCCATTGCATCAGTTTTAGAAAACATTTTGGAAAAGTGAAGGCTATTTGGTAATACTGAACAAATTAAGCCATTATTTTTCCATTCTGTGTGTGTGTGTGTGTGTGTGTACACACACGTTTTTCTCCTGACTTTTGGGCATGGGACTTAGCCTTTATACTTCTAAACACAAAAGGCCAGTTTTTATAAATTAAGGTGTCAATATGTTGTGACTAATTTATCATTATTTAGTTTGTGATTGTAATTTTCACTTTTTATAGGCCCCCACGAGTGGCACCTCTGATGAAGTGAGTTGTCCTGTTAACCCCACCCCCATGCTTGGATTTCTTCGGCTCCTATGGTGCATGTGCTGATGCGCCTGCACTAGTTACCTCAGTTATTCATTGG